TCATCAATAATGGTCCTTGGGGTATCTACCCAACAATTCTATTTTGTTTTTACGCCCGTTTCGATATGCCTTGGATTTTATAGTAGTTTTGCAACAATACTGTAAACTTTTTAAACTTTGAGTTAGGGGCCTCGGTAAAGACTTGAAATTTTATTAGGACCTTGTATACATGTCTTGTCTGTCTCCATAGGCGCTTAAATTCGTTCCGCTTGTCTTTTTTCTTCTCTCTCTCTCTCTCTCTCTCTCTCTCTCTCTCTCTCTCTCTCTCTCTCTCTCTCTCTCTCTCTCTCTCTTCCAAATGGTGTCCCTTTTTTTTAAAGTGGCAATTAATGTCAATTTGTTGAAAAATAAATGCGCACACAGATGTTGAAACTAACTTCATTACGTTTAAAAAAAAAGAGATTTACATTCTTTATGAGCCAAAGAAATTTAAGAGATAGAACACATGTTTTCAGTTACCGTACGAAAAAAATAGAGTGTAGCACATGGACGATGGTGTTTAGGGTGATAACAGCTCCTTGTGTGATAACGAAGAAAGAGATTTTTTATGCTGCTCGAGGGTATGTTCTTGAAATTGAGCTGTTTCAGGATTTGCCAAGTCTTTCCACAAACTTGGTTCTGTCCTATCTGAAATCGGCATTAGTTTCCGAGGTCTGTCTGTTTAGATACATATCCTTTCAATTATATTAGGAGGAGCATCAAACATGTGTAGTCTAGATTTCTCTCACACTTGTACGGTAAATCAAGAGATGCCAATTTTTTGTCTGATCTCAATTACAATATACTGCAGCAGCCATGTTCCCTGACCGCGACTGTGTTCCCTGAATGCGAACAACGGCGATTACCTGAACGTGGCCACTTATGTTTGGAACGTAACCATCACGAATTCGGTACATTGCAAGCTGCCTTAAAACTATAAGCGCTAAAACACAAACATAGCCTACTGATCAGAGAAGACCATTCACTGATGGCCTGGTACCATTGCCTGGTACCCATTCTCACCTGGGTGTGAGGAAAATTCGTGTTGTGTCTTTCGTAAGAACACATCGTCGGGCCCGATCGAGGTTCGAACCCCCGAACCTGCTACTTCACAATTACGAGGCCTCTATAGCCCAATCAAAAAGACTCAGGATGGGGGGGGGTGGGGGTGGCATATATTATATAGATATCAGGCGCGGTTCGTCCATGGAGCACGGTCGTGCAGTGCCGCCCAAAATTTTAAAAATATTCTATTACGTAAAGCACCCACAAACATAAAATAAAAGAAGCAAGAAACAAGCACTAGCCAAATATGATATCAAAACAAGGACCTCGTTGGCACCGTAACTGTCATTTCTATGTCTATATCGCCGTAAAACATTTACTATGCCATGCCAAAGTCCACGCGCTTTAACTAAACACAATAGGATATTCAACACTGGTAACCTGACCTATAAATCGCTCTTTGGGATAACCCAAGCGATGACGACACTCGTAGCGAGTTTGGCGGTACATTAATATTATTATTAATAAGCCGGCACATCTCAAATGTGCTCCTGACGAATAGTGCCGATACATAGCCCACAGTAAGCATTCTAAAAATAAACGCGATAGACTCTACGCTATTCAATGCCAAAAGTATGTGAGCCTCGGAGCAATCCAGGCTCAAGTGTATTATTAGAGTGTTCAGTTCTCATGCAGGATGAACGAATTCGATGTTTCGCTAACAAACAGATTTTAAGTTCTTGAAATCAAAGCGGCAAATAAAAAGAATGAAAATAAAAGCACGAGGACCTCCCTCGCCAACCCAAAGATCCTGAAATTATTTACCATCTCATTTACTATGCCCTTGACAATCTTCAGCCTGCGATAGCTTAATTGTGCACGCCCATTTTTTAGACTCACGAGCCGCCACTGAAAGATAGATATATATACATGTGGTATATAAACCTACATAATATAATAATTTGACCTGATTGTATGCCAAAATTTTTAATTTACATATCACGTTTAGAACTCAAAGTGAATCAAGCTAGGGAGGATAACAATGAATGAAGGCCTAGCAAGTAGCTGTGGGATGCATTTATAATAATGCAGATCTAGCCTTATCTAGCCTAACTGAAATAGCGACGACTCATTTTTTAAATTTATTTATTTTGTCTTGTTTTGTATTTGGGTTAATTTATAATGACGAGACAAGCAGTCAGAAAAGTCGCTAATAAATAGCAAGAAAATCGTAACTCCCGCGCTTGAAGAAATTATAATAGCGAACACATGATAGCCTAACCGCTATACTAGCCTATTATTACTTACTGGCTATTTCGTCGACGGGCTGATGCAAGTGTTGGTACGTTCCTTTCTCGCCACCTCTTCTGTTCTCTGCCCACCCCACCTCACTCGACGGTCTATTCTGTCATGAAACTGAAAGGCTTTTCTAAAGTCCAAAAATTTCAAAATATTAGGGACATTCCATTCTTTGCTATGCTAAGTTCTACAATATTTCTTAAAATAAACAGCTGGTCTGTACATTCATGATTTCTCCGGTCGAAACACGCCGGCTGTTCATTCTCTTATGAAGTCTCTCAATTATTTCTGTTATGATTACGAGGCAAGATAATTTTATGAGCAAAATGAGTTTCCAAGCACTGATAAAAGAGTTGTTCCTTTCCTGAAACTCGTGTAACTGGCGAGAGAATAGAGAGAAAGGGTGAGAGAGAAGGGAGTGGGGGGGGGGGAGATCACGAGACAGAGAGACAGAAATCATCAGAGATGGAGATTTTATAGCCTAATAATATTATAATACTAATAAGGATTTTAAGTAATCTGGAAATAGCCATAAATTATATTGGTGCTTTACATCAAAACTTTTGTAATTTACAGGATATATAACCCACTATAGGCCTAGTCAGTGTAGTATAATATTATACATTCGAATAACATTTCAGTTTCTGGGAATAAATAATTGTTTTTAATAAAATACATTATCCTTTTGATTGAATAAGCAAAAATAACTGACATAAAAGAAAGAAGGGGGAAAAAGCTCCACTTTAACATAAAACTCCATACTGTCTTGCTACAAGATCTTGCTTGGCAATATGATACAGTGATTGGGGTGAAATGTATAAAAATAAAACAAAATCCCGTGTTTTGCGCATAATAGAACAATCGAAGGACAGTTCAGGCTTAGCACCATGGCGTTTGTATCCTGAGCCTGCTGAGCCAAAAAAGTAAAAAGCTTCTGTGGCGTATGGTGACAATAGATTTTTCAACGCATTGTACATAATCTCTGTTTAACCACAATATAACAGTGAATAAAATACTGTCTTATCTCTTTTACAAAATACTTCAGCCTATTAAAAAATTTTCATTTTGTATTTTAGGTAGAATTTCATGAAATATTATTTAGATTCTTTCGTTTGCAGTGAAAATGCAAAAATATCGCTTTTCTCGAGGGTAAAAAATCAGCAAAGATGGCGGGCCTGTGCAAAACATTTTGGAGTAGACCTCTGCAGTCTACATTTTCTTTAGCCTGCAAGCTCCCTGAAGCTTCTTTGACTCTAAGGTATAAATACACGTTGATGTATTCGTTGAGGATTTGCCATTTATTTTTATTTTTTTTTAATGCTGAAAGTTCAACACATTTTAAGTTCTTCAGATATCCGATATAGGTTCACCTCATGGAATTGTCAGCTGTTGTTTTGCTGCTGCTGAGGTTTGACCTTGACCCATCTATCTGCTTAAACAGAAATTTTGATTTGGGCCTTTACTTTTTATAGAAAATCCCGGTGATGAGCTGTTGTCAAGGGGTAGCTTGGATTTTGGCAGAAAGCATTACAATTATCAATATTATTGTCATGGGTCTTTTTTTGCAATAGACTAGAATCTAGATCTAGATTCTAATTATAAAGTTTAATAGAAGAAGAGTTAAAATACACAGCTTTTAAGTATTTTAACTCTTCAACTTCAACTTGACTTCGAACGTTAAACAAGGATTGAGTTTGTCAGTCATTATTGAGTGATGTCAACATTTTCAATGGCTGGATTGTACTTTACCGGACCACCCATCTCGGCCTGTGATTACTACGCACTCATAGTTCTCTACGTGCGGACTAAAGTCTAAAGTTAAAGGTAGTTCCGCGGGCGGCTTCGTGCACAGCGCAAGCCAGAGGTGGTGGTTGAGGGTGGGTAGGGGATTAACTTCGGCGTCTTTGGTGGACCACCGTATATCATACCATCAGTGGGGGGGGGGTGTTATTTAGGGGGTCTTTCAAGCCCCTGGAAACAATAAGAAAATCAATGAAAAATACACAATTAAGCAAAACAATAACAAGAGCGGACAATCGTGTTTACTTATCAATATAACAACAGTAGGGGGTTCCCCCTGGCAACAATAATTTAAAGACACACACACATAACAGAGCGGACCATGGAGCTAAGTGGTCAATTACAATCGGGGTAGGCCCTAGATCCTAGATCTAATTAGAGTTGGAACAGGCAGAGCCTTGCTTTGCAGCACTCGCCAAGTCGCGAGCAGGGCCGAGGGGTTGCAATTATGCAAATGAGCTCTCGTGCACATCTCTCACCCTCCATTGTACTTTGCCGGAATAGGCCTAGGCCTAGCCTAGCAGAGTCGCGAGCAAATAAGTGATTAGATTGACTAATTAGCCTCAAGGTGTCAGGGTCATGGGTCAAAGGGTACGGTGGCATGGACCTGATGACTGAAAAAGCTGGTGAGAGACGTCAGTCGGTTGTTGGCTGTCGAAGGGTGAGGACGTAGAAAGCTGAGTAGGGGAGCACGGAAAGGAAGAATAACAGACCACTAGGCACCAGGGGCGCCATAGCGAAAGCAGTTCCGACCGATGGTCCAGTAAAATACAATTTTACCTTTTCAATTTCAGGAGGGGGCAAAGGAAGTGAGGGGGTGGGGGCAGAAATGGAGACGAAAGCAGGCGATAGATTAGAACATTGCTAGAAAGCAGGAAAGGAGGTGAAAGGAGACAATTTTAGAGAAGAAAATTTTTCTATCGCTACCCGGATTCGAACGCGGAACCTTTGAATGAGAGGCGAACACCTTTTATTTAACCTCTAGGCCACCGCCACAAGAGCCCCCTTATATTTATTTGAAAACATGTGATTTGCAAGTGTTTTAGTGGCCACATGTGTGTTCTGACATGAAGTAAAAATTATGGCAGTTTAATCAACCCTCAAGCAGTGCATCTAGATCTACATGCAGGTCTTTAAAAGTAAAAATTTACCGGGCATGCTGACAGATTATTTTCTTTTTCTACTTCAGCGAGGCATGCTCCCAATCCCCCAGCTTGGTGTACAATGTGTGGAAATTAGAATGCAATTATGCTTAGCACAATATATATATATATGAATGAATATTAGCAATGACAATGACAAATTAAATGTTCATTTATGCTACACTTCTCATCCACGTTTCGCCAATTGGCTATTCCCGTTTTGGGGGGTTTTTTGCCGTAAAATCCCCACATTTATGATCTAATAAGAAGCATCCTAAACAGGGATGGTATAAAAGGTGACTGCCAAGTCCTTGCAGTCCTGGAGACCCCAGGAATGACCCGTGAATTTGAATAAATCAGCGATTAAACCTGTAGCGCCTCTGGGATTTGAATAAAAGACGAAGAAAAATTATTTTTCTCTTAACGTTGAAAGCCCAATTCGAAAAGTTCACTAAGTGCACTTTTGTGAGGCATACAATATTCATTGGGCTTACCCGGTTTCAAGAGCGAGTTTCAGGAAAGCAAGTGGCAACAATGGGAGTGAGATGTTGTTTCTAGTCTTCGCATTGTCGATGAGGGAAATCAACATGGTGCTTATACTGTTATTACCTCCCAGACTTTTCAGATGTCAGCCTAATATATGCAACAGTTGTGACATACAGATTAACAATATTCATTGTTCTGCTATCGCTTTGGAAACATTTTGCACAAGTAGGTGTAGACTAGATCTACTATTGGACACCTCTGTGCGGTATGCAGTGCACTTAACTTCCTCTTCAAAAGAGATGAATCGCTACACATCAATGTGCCACCCACCATTCTGCAAAGTTAGGTCAAGGTCAAGCTGCACAGAGAATTGACCATGCTATAGAGCAAAAGAATGAGAAAGGCTTTTCAGTCAAGGAAAAACAGGCTGCTTCTTGCGAAGGTGGTTTAAAAATCAGTACGAAAACGCAAATCTGCAAATCTAAGTGACTATGAACGCATGTGGAACTGAATTAAGTTTCTTGTTGAACACACAAGCACAAGTAGACTTATCACGCACATTTGTCCCCCTTCGCTTGCGCTGACATGATCCAGGTCATTGCGCCAGGTAAGTGATAGCAATTTGCACAGCTGCAGGACCACTGGAAAGTGAGGAAGCTGGAACATGACATATTTATTGTGGGGGGGGGGGGGGGGGGTGTTCGGGCCAGCTGGATAGGAATTAACATTTCCTCTTGTGCTACAGCTCCTTTGAAGATTTCTTTGTGAGGGTAAAAGCTACAGGGTCTGTAGTGAGAGGTCTGCACCTTATGTTATCAAGTAAGCTTTATATTTTCAAAAGGTTTGAATGGAAGTCAATTTTTGACCCATTAACACTTTGTCGTCACATTTCGCTGATTGGCGATGTTTACCACCCAGTTTTTTTAGATTTTCCCCAAAGTGCTTTTGATGGCAAGAGTTTTTACTATGAGCCTTGTGATGGCAAAGTGTTAAAAGAAAGTTAACAAGGAATTGGTGATTTTGGGTAGGTGCAGTCCACAACGTGACATAGTTTAGTACTGAAGGCACATGTTTACATATGAAAGCGTTTTTTTAACAACTTTTTGAATGCTTGTCTTTGGGGTTTGCCTGCTTTGAAAAAATTCATCTTATTGCACTAGTCATAGTGGTTTTGAAAAGGTCAAGACAGGATGTTAATTTACTTCTTTTAACTCTTTATCTCCGAGGGCCCTCTTTTGGTACAAAATCTAAAATAACATAATACATTAAACTAAAATAACATAATACATAAAACTAAATTGGACTTTAAATCAATACATGTGAACATATTTTGATAGTTCTTCATCAAATGAATGAACTCCCAGTAATAGGGACTTAATTTTCAGCAATTGCCGAAATGTAATTTGATGTCAAAGACGTCGTAAAGGAATGTGCCGGAGCCGCTGCTAGTGGCTCACCAGTGCAGCGATTCCAACCGCAAGTCGCTGTGAGCAGCTTGCTGGAGATTAAGCCCCAGCCCTTCTGAAACAGTTTTTTAGCCTTCAATAATTTAACCTTTGGTGAAAGTGGTACTGATGTTTATATGCTGTGCAGGACGGAAACCTGGCATAGCGAAATCTCCCCAGGATTCTCCCCTTTCCCCCCTTGATAAAGTCCTCTATAATTACCTCAATAAGACGGAAACCTGTCTAATGTAGAAACAGAAAGGAATTCCTTCCTTCTGAGAGTTTTTTACCTGTATAAGATTGAAAATTTTTTGCCCACTCAGCCCTGACTTGAAACAAAATTAACAAGTTTCTTTCAATCAGCTTTAATCTTTTCGCCATGTCGCCTGGCAAGGAAGGAGAGTAGGGGTGCGATGGTAACACCCCCCCCCCCTTCCCTCATCCATGTGAACCCCTAGCGGTGCAGATGGTCAGGGGGGTGTTGATATGAAATCTCACCAGTGCCTGTAAAAGTTCTCGAGTGGCACTCCTGCTCGGAAACTTTCAGTAGTTGCCAGAGGTGAAAAGTGTGAAATTTGTATGACCAAATCCTGCGGCCCTGACCGAAAGGCCAGCTAGCAAAAGAGTTCCTTGAATCATTATTTCTCGCATGAGAGGGGTGGCATTGGTTGACTGTGCTTATTACACCGATAGGTGGGGCTAACTTGGGTGGAAGTGGAAACGAAAGAGATGTTCAAATGTTTCTGCTTTTAAAAGGTCAAAGTGTTCTTTTGAAATGCAACCCTGGTGGCAATGGATTAAACTAGGACTGACGCTTGTCATTTTCAGAGAGGATAGTACTTGAGAGGTATGAAGTTTGGACTAATGCTTGCCGATTGGACAAGTGACCATTGACGGCCTTGATCCCACTGGTTAGGCCGCTGGAACACCCCCCCCCCCCTCCATTGCCTCCTAAATTCCCGTGTCTATAAGACAAACATTTTTCTGGCTCCCTTCCGATTCTGTTTTACATAGGTTCGACTGTATAAGATAATATTTAAATATGCTATGATTAGTGTTATGTCTACCTCTTTTTAAGGTTGAGATGTCTGCACTCCTCCACGACGTTGCTACGTAATTCAGACGATGATGAACCGAAGGGTTGGTTCAGCAGGCTCAGAAAGACGGCACAGCCTGACCAGTCTCACTCAATGGCCTTATCCAACAAAGACACTGTTTATGAGCTGCAGTGTAAGTGTTTGTTCCTCCATATCTTAAAATTCTGTCTTGGTACTGCAGTGCAAACATTTTGTCCTGAAGCAATAAGAAAGATTGTCTACTATATGCAGTATATAAATATAAGTGTTTTTTTCTACTGTAACATGAATAGAAACTGGGTTTGAATTGCAATGTAAATGTTTTGTCTCCTGAAGCTAAATAAGAGAGTCTATGATCTGCAGTGTAAGAGTACATTTGATGACTGTAGCTTCATAAGAGACTGTCTATGAACTACAGTGTAGGTGTTTTGTCCCCTGAAACATAAGAGAGACTGTCTCTATGGAGCCAGTGTGAGTCTTTTATGTTTGCCTCATATAGCATCATTTCATGATTCTATTATTTGTGATTTGTGTGTGCAGCTAGATTTCTATATATCAATTTAAGCTGTGTGAGTGGCAGTTTGTGTCCTGTCTGCCTGTATTGTGTTTTGCGTTCTGTTGTATGGTTTTTAAAAAGTTATGATAATCTTTTTCTTTTTCTTTCAGTTCATGGAGTGAAGCCAGAATGCATGGAAGATTACCTTAATCAATTGTGAGTATTCTGCTACAGGTATAATTAAGATAATGCAGAAATACATATGTTTGCCCTTTCCAGCACTAATTTCTCATTGCTGAAAAGTAATATGGCAGTTTCTGGACTTGTTTGTTTTTTATGCAAAAGATAAATCCCTTTCAGTCACAGTAAAGTAATTATATCACTCATTTATTGTGATTGTTGTAATTTGAATTGTCTTACGACTAGGGGAGGTGCACCTCCTGCTGGTGTGCCATAGCTCTGTCGATTACCCCTAACCTACTTGGGGAATTTCTTGGTTTGTACAGTGCAAAAGGGATTTAGGATGATTGTGGGTCAATATATACATAATATATACATCTCTCTCTCGTTTTATTTTTTAACTTCAAATTAATTTATGTGTTTGTTGTACCCCATGTTACATAGTTGTAATTATTAATGTGCAATTCATTGTAATGCGAACATGTATTATTACGAATGTCCAGCTGTCTAAAACCCCGCTGAAGAGTTGTACAAAAGTGCTCAACTAATTAATTAAAAGTTCTTTAAACACATCTATCTTGACCTCTCTGTGTTATTGTTTATTTTTCAATTATATATACCCAAGAGTATAACACACCTTGCGAATCTTTTCAAAGTTGATTTCTTGAATAACTATTTCTTGGAGTTGAACATATCCCATTTAAATGGGAACTTATCTTTCAGTCAGTACTATAATCCTGGCTTGAGCAAGTTCTGAATCAGGCTTTTTTAAAAGCTAAATTTTTACCATAAAAATAAAATGTTCAATAGAACCATTGAAAACAACCAAGCTACCCTGTGAACTATCATGAAAACAACCAACTTCTGTTTCGCGTGCTCATATGATTTTACTTCTAAACAAAAACAAGTTCAAGGAACAAAGAAAGTAATTCTGCCATGCATGGAAAAACTTATGAATGTTTTTTAATGCACTAACTAATTCATAACACTTTTACTTGTATGAAAAAAAAAACCCCAAGGCTTTAGAAATGTTTGTTTGGAAATGTGTTTTGATGACAGAAAAAAACTTACTCATTTCTTTTTCTCTCCTTTGGCAGCTCAACTTTTCAGCAGCTGATGAGAGATAAGGGCACTGGTGCAGAGTTAGTGGGCAGCTTCACTGTGGAAATTGGTGATCAAGATGAAGCCGGTAGGTTCATAATGTGATGGTGGTGCAAAGTTATCTCATTTCTTTTTTTAATTTAAGAAGATTTATGAATGCAGCCGAACCTGTCTAAGATGATTGTATTGGCCATTTTAGACATTTGGTCCACTTGGGCAGTGTCATTATAATATAGGGAAAACACAGAAGCAAACTGGGAAGTGGTCGTGTGCACAGGTGATTGTCTCGGATCGATAGCTGTTACAGCGGGTTCAACTCTACATCCATTGTAGTTAAATTGTTGTTGTTGTTTTTTAAAGAGGAAAGCAAATCTCCACCAGTACTGATGTACCATTGTTGAATGTGAAATTGTGAGTAGGTTCCATGCTTCTGGATTCACTGTGCAGTTTGAATGCTGGATGACATTATACTGCAAAAGCATTTATCACATACTGAGTTTTAAGATAAAAGATCGTTTTCAACTACGAAATGATTCCCATCAAAATAATTTGATGTATTTTTCTTTCATTTCCAGTTCACATGTGGCAGTATCCAGGTGGCTATCCAGTCTTGAATAACGCTAACATGATCTACAGAACGGACAGTGTGAGTGTTATGTGGTTTTTTAAATTCCCTTTTCAGTAAGTTCTAAACAAATACAGGCTTCTGTATGTTCATTGTTCATACCTGTCTTTTGTATCTGATTTTAAATAAATAATTGATTGATACATTTAAATGGCTATCTAAACCTGCACAAGATAATGCAAACTGTAATGTCAGCTGATTGTTTCCTCTTTTTTGTTAACTCTTTCAGGATTTTGTAGAATTTCGCAAGCAGAGGAACGCCATGTTGAGATCACGACGCAACCAAATTCTTCTGGCTTTCAGCTTTTGGCCTGCCATCCAGCCCCGAGATCCCTCCCACATATACGAGCTCAGAAGTTACACTCTTAAGGTATACTAGTTTTATTACAATTAAGCCTGAATGTTCACTCTGTGGGGTTTTTCCGTAGAAAAACCTTTGGATGTAAAGACTTTTACGATGTCTTTTCTTTCCAGCACCAATATTTGTTTTCAGTGTTTTTCACTTTTTGAAAAATAACTGCAAATTTGAACTTGATTTTAAAATGTAAGTGTTATGATACATATATATTTCCATCATGTACTTTTTAACATCTCCTTCAGTTTCTGAAGTTTCAGGATGGCTATTGTTTAGCAACTGGCAAGCATTTAAGGCTTTTGTCTTAAGTCAATAGACTACTGTTTTACTGCGACTTAAAAAGCAATGGATTGTCTCTTTTTGCTTTGTCTTTCAAAAGTTTTGAAGGCAAGAGAGGACTTCCAAAAGCTAAATAAAAAGTTTTTTGTTCTTTTTCTGTTGAGGAAAAAAAATGTAAGATTGTCCACACTTTTTGTAGGCATTTGGTTTCAAAGTTTCCCATTTTGTTTTTTCTCTAGCCAGGCACAATGTACGAATGGGGAAATTGCTGGTAAGTACATTATCCTAATTACATGTACCGGTACTTTTTTCTTGTGATGAGGGGTTGTTCACTCGAGCAATTTGAAAGGTGTTTTTTTTTTTTGGGGGGGGGGGGGAGTTGTCAATATCGTTGCATAAATGTAGTTTAATAATCTAAGTTAATTCACATGTTATTTATAATATGTCTCTGAAATATCGATCAGGATGACAGTTTTGTGCTAGGTACAGCTCGTTCAACTCAAAATCATCATGGTTTTTTGACAGATAATTTCTGATTGCCTGCTCTTATTTTTATTAAACTTTTACCAGTAATCTTTTATGAATTTTGTTTGTTTTATATACATAAATGGTTCTGGCCCGAGTATTAACAAGCAATGTTTTCTCTTGCCTTTGTTTCAAAAAGAATTACTGAGTTAAAAGATGTGATGACTCACAGAGTGACTCGTATCATGGCGTCATACTTTGTATTTGAAAGGTACAAGAGGAAGTTGATTATTTTCTTCTCTTTCTATTAAGTCTCCATGCTTGCACACCATTTCTTCTGTTTTGGGAATTTCGCTTTTTTCTGTGTTCAAAAGAGAGTTTTTGCCTGTTTAAACCAAAGAAAGAACAAATATGTTCCGAAATTGTACCGTAAATATGTTTATTTTCAACCTTAGGTGGACGCCAAGAAAAAGGCCATCAGTGCTGGGGAAAAGCGACCTCTCGCATCAACTTATAACTTAGAAAAAAATATTGCTCAAAAAGACATATCAGAATTGTCATGGGAAAAGTGACCTTTCACATCAACTTATAACTTTTATAAAAAATATTGCTCAAAAAGACAAATCGGAATTGTCATATATTTACAATCTCAAAGCTCTAAGAAAATGGAATCAAAAGTTATGTTTAAAAACTGTGATGTTTTTGTGTTGGAGAATCTGCAGTAAAACCATTCTTGTGTCATAATGTGATGATTTATTACATGTTTGGTCGTCCTGCCTTGACAGACATTTTGAGTTTGCAGATTTCTTTTTTGTGTGGATTTGGGGAAAGCACCATGGTGATACCCTGTGGTTCTCATCATAGAGCCATAGCCAGTTGCCTTGGTTACGGTTGGTGTATCAGTTCCATGTGAAAACAAACTCAAAGCTTGGAGTAGCCCGCCAAACTTTTATAACACTTGCTATCGTGCAAACGCAGCTTTAGGCGCTTTGTTAGCTGTGGAATGTTAGTTTTTTTAAATTGATTTCCCAAAGACAATGCAGGTCTCCTTGTGAATGTAATGCAGGCTTGCTAACCATCCCAAATGTCCCAGGATTCCCAGATTCAGCAGTCGGAAATTTGTGAGACTTATCCGTCGCTTACACTATACCAAAAACCTGTCACCATTGATGTAGTTTTGTTTGTTGACGTGTAATGTGATGTTTGAACGCTGGGTATCCCAGATTGGGTTTTGGAAAAGTTGGCAAGCCTGGTATTATTTATTCCCCAAAGACAATAGAGGCCTCCATGATGTGAATGCTTTATTCTCAAACACAATGGCGGCCTCTGTTTGTGTCCTGTCCCTGTTGTCCCCTTAGCTGTGTTTTATGCCCTGAGCTGTGTGTCTGGTCCTTTGTGTCCTTTGTTTCATGTGTTCTAACCGCTTTGTCTCCCACACACAGGGCCAAGGGAATAAAGTCTCGCCAAACTAACAATGAGCCTGTCATGGGTTTCTTTACCCAGATAGGCAATGTCTATAGTGTAGAACATTTCTGGGGTAAGTTGCTACTGGACCTGCCTTGAGGGCTGGCCCACTCTACAAGCTGGAGTGGTCAAATGCCCGCAGCTCCCGACCCCCTGCCCCTCCTCCCCCCCACCCCATCCCCACACATTGTACTCACAGATTTGCTGTGTTTGCATTCGCTGCTTTTGGATTGTTGTTTGGTTTGTTCATCTTGTATGGTTTTTGTTTTTCAGTTAGCTTTTGTGTTCTCACCATTACGGCTGTGTAGAATGTTTTGGCTTTGTATTTTTGCTTTGAAGGTTCGACATGATATGCTTTTTTTGTTTTGTTTACTGGCCCGGGAGGAAGAAAATGATAATGCTTTCATTTTTTACTGGGCGGAAATGAAGAACAGTTCATTTTTTATTGAAAATGGTATTTGGTTCAGGTCAACTTATGAAAAAGAATGACGGAAGCTCTTCACTTTGTCAGCTGAGGATTTTCAGTAACATACAAGAGTATAGAAGCTGTTTTTTCTTATTCCTCCACAATATTTTCCATGCATTATATTCAGTGCATTTGTCCTTCCGCCCAACGGAATTTAGCAACTTCAATTTTTCTTCTCCTTGGTCTGGTATGAAATCTCTTCATAATCAACATGATAATCGTAACATCACACACATGTATTATGTAATTAATTAATAAAGCTTTTTCGTTGTCTGCCCTGGATGCCCACTGATGTAGAAAATATGATGTCACTTTGGGATGGGTTGGGGGAGGGGGGTGGTTTGGTCCTATTTTTCTTAAAATGTCTGTCTTTTGGTACTGAAGAGTGGCTGGTGAAGTGCACAAGGTACTTACGTCAGCATCTTACGTTATTCGAACTGATCTATTTCGACAAATGGGTAAATTTGCAGTTGGCTTTACAATCATTTTGGGAAAGTTTGCCTCAGAACAGCTAAAAATATTCATTGAACTACCTTGTCTTAGCTTTCATATTATTCGGTTTGAAAAGTATTTCTGAGCTTAGTTTTACTTATCTCTATGGGGAAAGGGGAGGCGGCTGTGAGGGAGAGGGGGGTGGATTGTATGGGGCACTGAGTTCATGCAAATAGTAGTCAAACCTTTGTGGAAAAGCATAAACCAAGCTGAAAAAAAAATTCTTTAAAATTAAAACGGCAGCATATATTGTACATCATTTGATGTCCAGGGCATGTAAGTTTCAGCACTAACTTTTTGTGCAATATAAATGTGTATATTTATGTAGACAATATTACAGTCCCAGCTCTTCTAGTACTCTGCTGTCTGTCTAAAGGACATTTTTATGTATGATAGTTTGTAGTGATCTTTACTTTCTTTTTCTTTCTTTTTTTCATGTTTTGTAGAACTTATTCATTTTACAATCAAACATTTTTGTACTCGGGCAATGTTTGCTTTTATAGGGAGGTTGGAATTATAGTTGGGTGTGAAAGTACCGATATGATTCCTCTGGTTGATTAGCTGAAGATCAACTGATGCCGGGTTTTGTTTGATTTTGTTTTGTTTTTTCTCTGTTATTTGGTAAATGCATTGATCTACACACTATGATAGTTCAAAGGTAAAAGTCGTCTGCACGTGGTTGTAGCATTTTGCAAGGGTGGAGGGCGTTATAGTGACTGTGGTAGGCGTCATGGTGAGGGTGGTTTCGGGAAGTTTGGTTGCACTGTATTTTGTGGTTATAAAGACAGCCATTAGATTGGCCTGTGGATTGCCCAGATCAACACCTTCACCTAGGTTGTTTGGTCTGAGCTGGCCTTGAGTTGACTTCAGTGGACTCTGTCCTTTTTGCTCAGCACAATTGTCTGTTTGGGCTCCAGCGCTAGTTTGCATATATATATAGGAGCATCCCAAATCATAATTTGAAGAAAGAAAGAGCATATTTTCTTCTTTTGAAGTTGAAATATAGAAAGAGTAAAAGCGTAACAGGTGTTCAGTATAAGACTCCACCATATGTCACTTTCCAAAATGGCATATGTCAAAGTCTCGCGCTAAGCAGTCGATAGAGAATAGAGACATGTCTGTCTGTCATTTTCTTGCATTTAAATGGTGAGGATGCACGTGTGTGGATGGTGCCTGTCAACTTCTACTTCGGCTTGTTGAATGTTTCGTATCTGTGGTCGCTGTTTGCATGGCCTGTCAATACTCTGACTGATGCTGTGTGGAGATGATCATATCGCCTGCTTACTTGGTGGATGACTCCACCATAAACCATTTTGAAAATTGTCTGGGAGAAGCAAAAGACTGATTCATTGATTTATAATTATAATTCAGTTTATGAAATTTCAACTTTTGTAATGTAGCAACTTAAGTAATTGTAGAGAGCTCATCATTTGTCACAATGTGTCTGGCAATGCAGTGATTGATTACATGCTTTAAAAAAAATATTTTCGCTGAAAGTGGTTTGTGATGGAGTCCTGCACTGAGCCATCGATATGGCCTGTGGCTACCGTCTTTACTGTGATCTGTGTGGAGGTGTTTTCAGCCTGCAATTGCCTGGGTTGGAAATGTCCAGGGCGTTGCATGGTCATGTGACCAATATGTCTACACCACCATCAGCATGTGTCTTATGTATATCCTCAATGTTTATGTTTCTGCTCGGTGTTACACTGAGTGGGGGTTGAAGGGTACAGTGGAGTCCACTTATAACGAGTTCTGAAATAACGAGAAGTCTGTTATAAAGACACTATTCTAAAACCCCCTTTTTTTTCCTTCTTTACCTCTATAAATAAAATACTGCTATAACGCAAGCAGACAAACACGCGAGTCCCTTATAGTGGAATATTGCTGCTGCTATGCGCAGCGCATAGGCCAATTATTCATAATGTAAAACCTCGCAAGTTGAGAAACTTGTTGGTGAACTAGCGAAACAAAGAATGGGAGAGCCCACGTATGTCAATAATGAAGGCCGGAACGAATGAGTGGGGAGAATGTGGCATGCGCAGACAAGCAGAACGCATTGCGAGATAGGCCAACCTAGTCTAGCTTATCTAGGCCTACCATGCCTCTTACTTTTCCGATGCAGGGATGGAGAGGTCACAGTGATTTGATGGATGGAGCGAATGTGTGGCGTGCGCAAGCAGACGAAACGCACCCCATGGTGTGGTGTGGTGGGGGACAACACAGCGGGCGAGTTAGCCTAGAGTCCTTTCTTTCTGATCGCCAATGCTGAGCTGTCAACATCGCTAGCGCTCGAGAAAGAAACCTCATTCGATTTTTGATCAAGTATGACCTAGAGGTCATGTTGAAGCAAAATCATCATCAGGGGAGATAACAAAAAAAATAAACAGAACACCAAACTTATAGCCTTGGCCTGCTTTATTATTTCCATTGAATTTATTACTGGATCCCTTATAACGAGAATCCTGCTTTAACGGACATTTCGCACCAGTCCCCTCCCTCTCGTTATAACAGGATTCCACTGTACCACTTGGAGGCCCTACATCTTTTTTTTCCTCTTTTGCTGTTTGTCTGTCTGTCTGTCTTACTTTTTCCCTGTACTGAATGATGTTTATTGTATGAATGTTTTTCTCTTTGCTCTCAAACTCAGAAGTTTGTAAGACCAAGACAACAGCAGTTTCCTGGTCTGTCTAAAATTAAAAGTTTATTTTGTCTGGGCTTTCAAACAGATTATCTTGTTTGTTTTGAGTGAAAGTGGTTCACATTGGCAGATTTCAGGGCCGCGCACATGCACACACACACACACACACACACACACACACACACACACACACACACACACACACACACACACACAAAATCATATACATAAACTTATACTTTTTCACACACACATGCACATTGTCAGACACAGATGCACCCCACACCCTCATATTTTTTTGATGATGCACTTCTTTTTTTTTTCTTGCTTCATCCTAACTGTATGATTGCAGAAGTGTACACAGTGTATGGTGTGTATGGTGTGTTTTTCTTTAGCTTTTTCACAGATGCTGGTACTTTGAACACTAATCACGCTGACGGAAGATAGTGCTCTTGGCCGATTTATTTTAGTTGTAGCTTTTGTTTTTTGCCTCATATTTGATTGCTTTGTACTACTAATGTTTTTACTTTTCTAATTGCAGTATTTAATTTTGTGCTTCTTTACTCTCTTCCAGTGTGCTTGTTTGTGTTATGTTATATAATTAACATTTTCTCTTTTGCCTTGCAGCATCTTTGAGTGTGCACAATTTTGTGTCTTCCAAGCTTGTTCATGTAGTGTGTACAGCAGGCATTGCTCAGCACGATGCCTGCACTGAACGGCTCAAATTGAATATATTTGTGGTATCAGCAGTAAATGTTCGTGTTCATGTTAAGAAAGGTCATCGAGACTGTGTGGTTTGAACTAAAGGAATGAGCTGGCAAATTAAAGAGAGAAACTGGAGATTCCTTTCTCTCAGCCAAATATGAATTTTACTTTTGTTGAGATTTTATAAGATAACTGTAGGAAGTATCGAATTTAAAACTTCTAATATTAGATGCTTATTATATGCTTTTTCTGACTTTCGAGGGGGAAAAAAATTACATTTGAATGAAAAAATTGTTACCTGTAGCGAATGAGTTAGCATAGGGATCAGAGATTTGACATCCGTCTCTGGTAGGATGGAGCCAAGCTTATTGAGAGTTGTGATACTTCCATCATATAAGACAACAGACAAGTGTTGGAACACTGTTTTAGGTTGTCAAATTAGGGTCATCATGTGGAAGTCCAGCTGATACCAACTGAGGTAACTGCCCAGTTTGTGAGAAAATGATGGGGTTGGGACTATGGAAAGCATGGGGGCAACCAGTGTAGATACATATATGTGTCCTGTTCAAAGTTGCTTCTATGAGTTCTTTATGTGCAAATTGATGTTGGTTTGGTAGAGAACAGTTGAGGAATTTTGTCGGGGTATGATTTTTGTGTGTCAGTTAGGAGCGAGGTGGGGAGATTTTTTGGCAACATGTTAGCTGTTTGACACTTCCCTATGTATTTCTGAGAATATCTAGTTTAGGCTTGTATGAAGAAGGAGACAGTAGGAAAAGTTTGTTTGAGCCACCAGTGGGGGCTTTGTGTTGAGCAATGTCTGCTGTATAGAAATCTTGTCCTCTAACAGGAAAACAAAATATTATCATTTGCTTTTCTTCAGTTTTGTGTTTAGTGTAGTTTGGCTTTTGGTTGATGTGCTTTGCATAGGGACTGGGTAGACAGCGAAACTTGAGTCCATTGTCAGAGTCAGAGATTTCCAAAACAGATCACAGTTGATCTCTCACCCTTGATGGCTGAATTATGGTTTTCCTGCATTATAATTAATAAACATTGGCCGTTTCTAGAAAGAGAAGCTTATTCATGAATTGTATAGAGGAAGTTCAGGTATTGACGAACGAATATTTGGTCACGAGAGCGATGGTAGTGAAGATAACTCCAGAATTGTTCAAGTGAAGAACACTGTTGTGTTGTTACACAGGATGGCTGTCTTTGCACAAGGGTTGCCTTCCCTCTGGGGTTTACAACATTTTCCTGTCTCCCACCAGTGTCTATGTCCTTGTGGAGGAACCCACTCGCGCGCACACACACACACACAGGCTCTGAGTCTGAGTGTATTGTGTGTGCTTTGTTCACGCACACTTTTAGCGTGTTGTGCTGGCCGTGTTCACACACACTCTGAGCGTGTTGTGCGGGCTGTGTTCACATACACTGAGTGTGTTGTGCGGGCTGTGTTCATACCCACTCTGAGCGTGTTGTGCGGGCCGTGTTCATACCCACTCTGAGCGTGTTGTGCGAGCTTTGTTCACAGACACTCTGAGCGTGTTGTGCGAGCTTTGTTCACAGACACTCTGAGCGTGTTGTGCAGGCCATGTTCACAACTTCACACGCACTCTGGGCTGAGCCCGTTCTGCGGGCAGTGTGGCAAATTACTAATCTCCCTTATAACATTTTCTAAACACCTCTCACAGAACTCACCAGCCATCCTCCAGCCAAGCAGAAACTGTCATCTCGCTGTATTTTTTTTCTACTTTATTTTATGTTATTTTTTTGTTTTTGTTTTGTTTGTCTTCTACGCTCTAAAGGGCTCGGGGACTCCAATATAGAAGATCATCTCAAAATGAACCAGTAGGCGGATTTTTGTCCCACATAGGTGAACAATACAATGTGCACCACTTCTGGGGTAGGTAGTCTTTGATTTTTTTCTGCTGTGGAGTATGGGGGGAGTACATGATATCATTTATTTTGGTCTTTGGGTTTGCTTTTACATGTAACAATTCTTTTAAGCCACAGAGTAGGTAATTTATAGAAATAGCTTCCTTTTTTGTCTTTTTCTTTTATTTTTTAAATCTTTTTTAAAATCTTTTTAAAAATCTATGTTTCTTACAATTACATTTGTTTAAACCACAGAGTAGAAAGTTTATAGAAATTATAAATTTCTTTTTTCTTTTGAGCTATGTTTCTTGCCTCTTTTCACTGTATAATTGGCCGCTTTTAAGGACAAGCGGGCTAACCCAGATTTAGGGGTTTTCCAGATTTCTTGACCTACACCAAAAGTGGGCATTGCCCTACATATAGTAGAACTTTGGTTTCATTGGTGTGTATATTTGTTTAGTTATAGAGAAAACTCTCCTTGTCTTTTAAAGAAACTTAATGAGGATCTAAAAACTTTAACTTCGATATTCTCAAAACAACATTTCCCGGGATAGCCCCCTTGTGCTTAAAAGTGACCAATTTTAGTACTACTTTCTTGGTCAAAGAGTTATATATAAAAAAATGTGTCTAGTAAGGAATGTACTGGAATGGATGACATTATGTTTGCACAGGAATTTTTGGGTTTTTTTGTTTGAGTTTGCAAATGTTTGTTGTGAAAGAGTGGCAGTGTGTTAACTTTGTGTGGCAGTAACTACGCCATTGATAACTTGTTGTTGTGGGTGCATGTTCTTAACATCTGTGTCTTGTGGTTTGTTCAACATTCTTTCACTTTCAACATGCAGATGGTTGGAGGGTACCACTAGTAGGCCTTTTTTTCCACTCTATTGTTTCTGTGTGTGTATCTTTACTTTCTTCTCAGCGCTGAATGACCGTTAATGTGTCGTTGTGTTTCTCTTTACTTGACCACACAAGCAAACTTTTTCCAGTTGGCTACACTTTTTGTTACATGGCTGCCAGACCAAAGGGCTAGAACCCAAATGGCCGCTGGATCGGAAAAGTAAAGTAAAGTAAAAGTTACATGGCTTTTGAGGTCAAGTCAGAAATGTTACACTGTCTGGGAAGTTTATAGAAAAAACAACATTGCAGACACCCCAGAACAGACCAAAAATGTCTCTAAACCAAGTGGCTCAGAAAACAGTCTCTCTCTCAACTCATTGTCCTGTTGACAAAAAATTTGGAACTGTGAGAACTGTTCTTAACGGGGAAAAAAGATAATAATATGAATTTTCTGCTCACTGATCAGTACAGGGCCAGCCCACTCATCAGTTAGTACTGTTAATGCACATAGTCTGTCCTCTGTGTCTTGTCATTTATCTGTACTTTCTCTTTTGTTCGCTTCATTCATCAAAAAATTCAGATGAGGCATGTGGGTGGTTGGCGGGTGCTCTGGTGTTGTTTGATCCTTCTTTCCTATCAAACATCTGTCGTCCTTATTTTCCCTCCTTTTTTGTGGTTGTTACTACTCTCTTGCAATGCCTCTCTACTTCAACATTTGTACATCTTAATTTTATTGCAAGTGCCGAAAAACTCGATGAGACACAGATTCCAAAAGAATTGTTCTCCTTTCTCATAGATTCCACCTGTTTGTGTTCTTGCCTTTCTGCTCTGATCTAGCCATTATGCAAGCTGAATGCAATCTTGTACAGACTCCAGTTTCTGCATTTTGTGAGATTTTGTCATTGCTGTCAAGACTATTGAGCAGTCTTTCGAGTCCAACATTTTTTCCGTTAACTCCTGTGTTCTGCAGTAGAATTTCAGTTTTATTTTCAATCAACTCCCATTTTGGCAACTGGAACACAGTGCTTTCAAAGTGAAATTACATAAAATCTAGAAAAATGAAGCTAGTACAAGATGGCACTTAGCTCGCGATTAATTGATTATTATTTTTTTATTATGAGAGTGTGGTCAGGGCATTCAGTGTCTACTGTTTTTGTTTTTCTGATGGGCATACATAATATAGAATATATATATAGCCTTTGCGTGTGTTGTCTGGGTGATTGGATGGTGCCACTGGTAGGTCCTACTTCTGTTCTTCCTCTCTATGCAGGTGGTTGGCGGGTGCTCTGATGTGGTTTGCTACTTCTTTCCTGTCAAGCATCTATTGTCATTTGTCATTATCTCTCCTTTTTTGAGTTTGTTACGGTACTCCTGCTTCTTCTTTCCTGCCAAACATCTATCGTCCTTATCTCCCCTTCCTTTTTTTTAATGTTTGTTACTCTCTTATAACACCTCTATTCTTCTGGCGCTCATATGACCTTATGCAGTTGCGAGTGCCGTAAAACCTCTATAAAACAAAAATAAAACAAAACTCTTAACTGTAACATAACTTTCCCTCTGTTGTTCACACCTGTCTGTCTTGCTCTCTCTTAGCCTACACTAAATACTAAATTACTGTTATTTAGTTGAATGCTTCTCTTTTCTCAAACTCAACTTTACTCAAAAACTTGTTTTGAAAATGATAATGATGTTGCATCTCGCCCCTCTCTCTCAGCTTATAAAGATCTGCAGACGAGGAAAGAGACAAGAGAGGCTGCCTGGGGCCGCCCAGGATGGGACGAGTGTGTCTCCTACACAGGTACACTATTTCTCTCTTACTGTCTCTCTCTCTCTCTCTCTCTCTCTCTCTCTCTCTCTCTCTCTCTCTCTCTCCCTCTCTCTCCCTCACTCCCTCCCTCTCTCTCCCTCCCTCACTCTCTCTCTCTCTTTCTCTCCCCCCCCCCCCTATCCTCTCTTCTTTTTATCTTTTCCGTCTCTCCTCCTCCTTCCCCCATCTCTCCCTGTATACAGATAGTCATTCATCTCTCCTTCTTACTCTCTCTCCCTTCCTCTTACTCTCTTCCCCCCCTCCCCCCTCCTTTTTCTCTATACAGGTACATTTCTTGCATCTCTCTCTCTCTCTCTCTCTCTCTCTCTCTCTCTCTCTCTTTCTCTCTCTTTCTCTCTCTCTCTCTCCCTCCCTTCCTCCCTTTTATCCATCCCTTGCTTCTCTCTATCTCCCTTTCCTCCCTCCCCTTCTTTTTTCTCCTAAATATTTTCATTCTTCTCTCCTTCTCACCTCTTTTCTCCCTCTCCCCCCCCCTCTCTCCTTTCTCCCACCCTGTCATACTTTCCTTCTTCTTGCACTTGCACCTTTTCTCTCCCTTCCTCTCCCTTTCTCTCTGTTCTTTCTCTCCCCCTTCCCCTTCCTTTTCTCCTACTCCTCTAAATAAATACAATCTTTTTTCTCTTTTCCCAAGACAAAGGTTCTTGTCCTCCTAGTCACAGCAGATAAAAATGTCCACAAGATAAAGACATGTTCACCTGCATGTTTGGTAGAACGTTTTAAGCTCTTCATTATCACACATGCAGAAGTCATGTGTTTGATTCCCGCTTGTAGGAATTTTCTAGTTAAAATCTGATCTCTTCTTGGGAAGTCGTTTCCATCTCAGCCTGGGTTGGTCATTACGCAGGCAGTGTTGAAACAGCCCATGTCTTACATTGTTTAGATCATGTTGATGGGGGTGTAAAGCATTTTGCAGCTACAATTGCCAGAAAAAAACATTTAAAGAATGTGTCATGTAGTATGCAGTAATAAGATTTTTTATTTAGCGGAATATCACCTGCTATTTGAACTCTTGAATTGTTTTTTTTTCCTCAAACAGTGCCACTGATCCGCCACATGAAGTCAAGGATCCTGATCCCCACCCCGTTCTCCCCCCTCCAGTAACAGCGACCACTGTTTCTCAGACGAGGAGGGATGGGTAGAGAGAGATGGCTGACACCGGACTGCTTCGTGCGACAGGCCTTCCATCCATGTGTGATGTTATTAGTTGAAGAGTTATGTTACCGGTACCCGTTTGTTTATGGTGAGAGTGTGTTTAAAAGAGTCTTTTTTTCTGTTTGAAATGAAAGAAAGAGTGGTTTGGGATGCCTTCCTTGTTTATGTAGGCGACGTTTGCGTGAGAACTCTTTGGTGATTTTGCATGCCCGTCGTATGCACGAAGTTTTCTGGAGGATCGTGAATAGTTTTAAAGCCAAGTGTTTCCCCTCTCCTTTGATTTTAAATTTGCTTTATGATTTAAGTGTTTTTATGCTTCCGATATACGGTATTTTGCTTTTTATTCGTTTGTTGTTTTTTTACCCCAACTGACAGTCTTCATCGTGCCTGAGGGCGTATTTGTATCTGTATTTTGGTGTGACACAGATTTCTGTGATAATGGGTAAAGCAGAGTATGATACCATAGCGTTTCTGTCTGGTAAAGGGTTTGATAGTGTTTCCTGTCCTGTCCCAAATTTTGATGTAATAAAAAACTCCAGGTCCAGACTGGTAATTCACAGAATCACGATGATGAAGTGAATGCAAACTAAATGAATGTGGCACATGATACGGATGGGATGCACCTGGGGCTTCCACTTTTGTCTATTTCGGTCATGGCAAAGGTCACTCTTTTGTCTAGTGCTCAGAGGATGAACACGGTGATGGTTTTATCCTCTTCTGGTTTTTGTTTGGGTTTTTTTTCTGTTTATTTTAACCATGCGTGTGAGGATTCTGTTTGTTCTTTTTGCCAAAGAGTAAAGATCTAACATGTTCTTGCACTCTGCAATGTTGCCTGCAAGGGTAGGATATTTGAAAGGTAGCCAACTTTTGTTTAGGTTGCTTGTGTCAAAAAGCAGCGTGTTGGAGTTTTTGAGCAGGGAAATCCGAAATGTAATTCTATGTTTGATATTTGAATGGCAGTATTCTGTAATGGCAATATGAGAAGGCTTGTTTGGAGATTCTACATGCATAGATATTTTCCGCTCAAGTTCTAGATAACTGCAATTTTGAGTTTCATGTTGGTGGATTAACACGTACGGTAGTAAGCATTACTTATTGTTGTTGTGAGCCATATTTTTAGTGGTTGCTTTGTTACTTATTCCCCAACTACCGTTATATATCAAGGTTTAGAATTGTGGGGTTAAAAAATCTGTGTAAGAGGAATGTTCATTTTTTTTCATGTTATTTGTCAAGTATTGTTATTGAGATAATGTACAATATAAACAACACAAGAAATATATGGTGAAATGTGCTGAATAAAACTGATTTGAGATTAAAAATCAATCCAACAAGTGTTAGCGTTTTTATTTTAGGACTAAGCAGCTGATTTTTCTTGTGCTGACAGTTTGAACTTTTGTTTTTAATTTCATTTTTTTTATCGTTTTTGATTTACAGCTATTTACCCAGTAATGTGTTTGCAATTTTTTCAAGATTTCCTGTGGGGGTTTTTTTTAACTCAACTTTTTATTGACCTTATGATCGTTGTACATGAAAATGCAAAAAAACGGGATTCTTCAAAATGGGTCATTTGGTACCTTTCACCAGGCACTCACACATCTAATTTTCCTATTTGGAGATTGAGCCACAAACACAGGTTGGAGTTGTGTTCAGGAATAAAAAATTTGCTTGTTCGGTACCAAATATACTAGTTTTTGTTCACTGCTAATCTTGCAAGTAATCGATAAACTCAGGTCTAGCCTTATGGACAACGCAGCATGCTCTCACAAAATGTAAACTCCAAAATGGCTTTCGAAAGGCGGATAATTGCTTGTTTATTTTTTACTTTGATTTACAAGTTTTCCTAAATTATGGATATGATTCATGATGGGGAATATTGGAAAACCATCGAAGATCGGGGGGTCCGAAATACATCTCAAGTGTGCTAGACATAGACTCTTGAGTCATGAGACTGCTGTCCTGGATAAAGTGAACAAGCTTAGCTGGAAATCAGTGCTCACAGTAGGAACGCAAACTCGGTGGCAACGAAGGAGTTAAAAAATCTTTATGTCCCTTGGTCAAATCTTAGTAAGTAGGCCTACTGAGTAGCCGGTACTAGGTTTTCTTTTATTTTGTCGATAAAGTACTCAATATTGGCCAGTATTGACTAGTGCTCACCACTTTTGCCTCTACCTCTACCTGAGAGAAAAGAATTACTCTGTGCTATAGGCAAAGTGAATGAAGTCCTTAAAATTAATTCAAGAAAGTGTCGGGCAGACAAAAGTTTGAAGCTTTTCTCAAATATATAAATGAATGTCACAAACCAACTGCTATTTTTTACTAAATGCGTTTTTCCAGTTTTGATGTAAAACACTTAGATCTAAGCACTGAATTCCAATGTGGAGAACTTGAGTCAAAATTAAACTGAAATACTACCGAAACAGGGCATTAATAGTGGAGTAACTTTGGTTTCCAAGGAAAGATTTTTCAACTGTTTTAACAGCTGTGACAAAGTGAAAAATTAGAGTTACCTCAACTCTGTTCAATTAGTGCTTGTGGAGTAGTGGTTAGGTATGTCATAGTTGCACGCTGTTTGTGAGTTAGATTTCCATGTGCGCTGAAATTTGTGAGTTCGATTTCCATGTGCACTGAAATTTGTGAGTTCGATTTCCATGTGCGCTGAAATTTGTGAGTTCGATTTCCATGTGGGGAGGGGTTTTTTTCAAGTGTCTCCGTCTTTCAACTGGGAAGTTATTTCCGTCTCAGTCCAGGCTAGCCCTGATGAGCAGGGTTGAAACAGCCTGCCTCCTAATACTAATAGATCTGAATTGTGTTGCTAGATAGTCGTGTAAAACATAATTCAATATATTTTATTTATTTTTTTACCCTGTTCCTGTCATAAGAGTTTATTTAAAACTCCTTTTTCAACACACTGAAATTATTGAGACAGGGCCATTGATTTACCTTCTTTTCAACACACTGAAATCGTTTTGTGCAGTCAAAAATTTGTGGCGCTTCTTATTTTCAAATATTTCTTATTGAGAATGCATATTATCGACTGCTTATTATAGTGCGGTCAAAAGTTCATGGCACAACTTATTGTAGAATATTTCCTTAACTATAGAACATAGACTCTCCATCTTGCGCACAGTGACATATCAGTTATATTTTTTGTAAACACCTGCTACTGTTAGCTGTATTCCAGGAAATTTTTTTCGTAGACATACTAATAAAATATCCAAGTGGGTGGTTTCTAAAGATTTTAAAAGGTTTGTTTACTTGTACAGCTAGGGCACTCCCGCTTTTTTACAGGCAAGTCTGTCATGTCTTTCTAATCATTTCATTATGAATGCTTATTTCATGCATGTTTCGAGATCCTCTAGTGCGAAAAAGTGTTCACCAAAGAATTAATTTCTTGTAACAAGTTTTGCCACTAAAAAGTGTCATTGATGAACTGTGACATAGGCCATATATACTCGTACATGGATGCTAAAATGTGTGTGAGAAGCAGGAAGTGTTATGAACAACCCCATTTTCCGCATGACGAAGATTTATAGTATTTTGTATGAATTCAAGAAGAAAAGTTTTTAAAATCTGGCCTCAGTTACTGTAGTTAAATATGATAGTGTAAAACTCCGCCATACGCCATTTTGAAAAGTGACCTATGACTATGACGGTGTCTTAAAATGAGCAGGGATACATATAAATGTAATGAATAGTTTTTCTGCCCCGCATGCAAAGCTTTTTTCGATACTTCAGGCTGCATCATGTATGCTGACTTTTTTGTTTGTTTGTTTTGTTTTCTTTGTTTTTATTTGGGGTTTTATTTTTTTATTTTTTTTGGGGGGGGGGGTAAAAAGCTATTTTTGCATCTTGATTAAAAAGAGGGAACCCCCATCTGAACCAGCCAGCTTATAATCATAATGTACCAAAAGTGTTTTCTTCTTCTTCTCCATCACATCACACTTTAAGGCCGGTACCTATCACTCATATATACATGTACTGGGCCGTCCTGCTCAGTTTATTCGTCGGCCCGTAACCTGCAGCTTCTCTTGTACTTGTACTTATAGTGTCCGTTCATTGGGTTTGGCCTCCACGTTTCCAGTCTGTCTCAGGGCCCTGTGTGTCTTGCATGTGTCCCACAGTTTGGTCCGCCTCTCCATTTGCACCGAGTCCCCTTGGAGCACCCAACATTGCAGCCTGTTTGGTACATTATTATGTAGCTGTCACTATAGATTGTCAAGAGCCCGTTTGCAGCTTCGTAAAAGTTAGGTACATAGTACCTTGACGCGCAGTGTAAGAATGCGCAGTGATGATAATGATGACCACTAAACGAGGAATACTCCCTACCCTGGTATTCTGTCCTATATTACTGGACAGAACTGACCCATGCAATTACGGCTGGGAAACTCTATGGTGAAGCGGCTAGGTACTTAATTGTTTTCGCAGGCAGAAGACAAAGTAACAGCAGCAATATAATACATGTAATAATATTAATGATGATGATAATTATTATTATTAAGCCTACTATTAGGTATTATCAATATTACTATTATTATCATCATCATTATTATTATTACATGTATTATTATTATACATGGTGGTCTAGTATTAGTAATAATAATGATAATAAAAATTGCTTTTATAAAGTGCAGAGTCTGTACATGTATTATATTCACGCTCTACGGCATGCTCTATACGCTTTACAATTATTACCCCAGCGGACCCTAAAAGAATACTCAAAAACAATATTCTCGGCTTCCCCGGAAGCATACAAGCAGCGGATTACTAATTTACTAGACGCGTTCAAACTCTTAACATAACATGCTGACAAGATCTTTCGCTGTTTATAGCCGGACACCCATTTTCACCTAAGAGGGAAAAAGAGGAAAATTTGTGTAAAGAGCCTTTCCCAAGGACACAACGTCGGAATTTTATTCTCAATGAAGGGAGCATACTCTGGATAGGGCCTACCATGTACATATTGTACATAATGTATTTTGTCGGTCGAGTATCTCAGCCTTGGTGTTGTATCCATCTCAGCTCGGGTTGACCCAGACGGACAAAGTCGAAGAAGCCCGCCTCCTAAATTATCTTAATCGTGTCGATGAAGGCTTAAGACAAGACCTACTTCTACTACAAGAATACTAAAATTTATAACAAAGGTTGAAAACCTCTGCTGACGTTATGCTATTTTACATGTATTGTGTTACAATACCTGTCTCTACACGTAGGCCTACAACAACTGCAACTATAATGTGCAGTGCAAGACTTGTGTTGCATGAATGAAAGGCATCTGATATGCCTCATGCTCCCTACACACTACACACACTGGCTGGATCTTGTGTCAGTGTCGGGTACAAGAGCAGTGTTTGGGAGGAAGGGAGTGGGTGCGTTTTTTTGGCTACATACTTAATTATATATATACGTGTACATTGTTTCACTACAGAAGTATTTGGATTTTAAGATGAAATTTATACAAAGACAGCAGCACAAGAATGCAAAGTGACGGGAAACGTATAATACCTGTATACCCGGGCAATATGTGTGTAGCGTGAGAGAGAGGGGGGGCGTGGCTGTTAATGTATCAATTAAATCAGTAAAGTATACAAATGGATGTAGGTGTGTGTGTGTGTGTGTGTGCGCGCGTGGGGGGGGGGGGGGGGGAGACTCCGCATATAGCACGGTATCCATAATGGACACGTAATGAGAGTTTCATGATTTAACGTATCGAAAGAAGGGTTAATATATATATATATATATATATATATATATATATATATATATATATAAATTATTAATAAAATAATAGGGGGGACCCCGGACTCGGAGAGACTTCGAACACGCCCATTCCCGCTAAGCTATTGACAATACACGCTTTGTCACTGGATCACATGATGTGTCATTTGAGACTTAGCTTGTTATGTTTTGCCACCTCACTGTGGGAAACCTTGCATCTGCTGTGAAGGAAATAGTTGTTGTTGTTTTACATGAATGTGTATAAGTATTCATTTTATCTTAGTTTGTTAGGTTTTACTCGACACAACAGTGCACCAATCTTTTCATAAAACTAGATCTATGCTTTAGGGTGTCTGTCACGTAGCAAGTTCATAAGATTGAATCTAGATTTCATGATGTTTGTCCCATTAACATGTTTCCTTCACTACCCCCGTGGAGGGAGACTTCTTACAAGGGGTGGGGTGACTTCGTACATTGCCCAAAGTCTCCTGACGACTTATGTAAGAGTAGTGGGAATAAGAGTTACTGTGAAATTTGAATGTTAAAAACACATTCCTTAAGTTTTTATTGTATTTCCCAGACTGCAACCATGTCAAGGAAACATACAGA